GGCCCATCCAGAGGAACTGGTTGGCCACCGTGTCAGACGGGATGCTGGACTAGATGGACCTTCACTGGTCTGACTCAGCAGGGCTCTTCTGGTGCTCTTCTCAGGGGAAGGCCTTGGCCTCTCTGCCCTGTTGTTGGCCCTCCAGAGGAACTGGCTGGCCCCTGTGTGAGACGGGATGCTGGACTGGATGGACCCTCCCTGGTCTGACCCAGCAGGGCTCTTCTGAGGTTCTTATCAGGGGAAGGCCTCGGCCTCTCTGCCCTGTTGCTTGATCTCCAGAGGAACTGGTTGGCCCCTGTGTGAGATGGGATGCTGGACTAGATGGACCCTCACTGGTCTGATCCAGCAGGGCTCTTCTGAGGTTCTTATCAGGGGAAGGCCTCAGCCTCTGTGCCCTGTTGTTGGTTCTCCAGAGGAACTGGCTGGCCCCTGTGTGAGACGGGATGCTGGACTGGATGGACCCTCCCTGGTCTGACCCAGCAGGGCTCTTCCGGTGTTCTTACCAGGGGAAGGCCTCGGCCTCTCTGCCCTGTTGTTGGACCTCCAGAGGAAGTGGTTGGCCCCTGTGTGAGACGGGAGGCTGGACTAGAGGGACCCTCCCTGGTCTGACCCAGCAGGGCTCTTCTGAGTTTCTCATTGGGGGAAGGCCTCAGCCTCCATGCCTTCTTGTTGGCTGTCCAGAGGAACTGGTTGGCCCCTGTGTGAGATGGGATGCTGGACTAGATGGACCTTCACTGGTCTGATCCAGCGGGACTCTTATATGCGCTTGTGAATAACTAATATTTTTGAAGGCCAGATTTACCCCAAGAGAAGCCAGCTGAATGAGGCCAAAGGTCCACCTAACTCAGCATCCTGTTTCCAACAGAGGTCAGCCAGAAAGCTACAAGAAGCCCAAAGCGAGAAGAGCCACCTGCCGCTGTTCGTTCTCCGACAATTTCTATATATTTGAGGCACACTGCTTCTGAATGTGGGGGCTCTACTAAGCTGTCCCAGCTAATAGCCCCCAAAAGGACCCCCAAATTTAAATCCCCACATTCTGCAGCCATGAATCTTTTAAATAATTGCATAATGTAAAGAAGTACTTCCTGAATATACTGCTAATCCAATTTCGTGGGGGTGGGGGTGGGGCCTGAGTTCAAGTGTTGACAGAAAGGAAGGAAAAGTTATCTCAGTCCCTTTTCTTTATAGCCCTGTATCTGCCACCGGTCTTTTGTCCCTTGAACACATGACCTGCACTGCATCAGAAAACAGTAGAGGCAAATTTGCAAAGCCTGGCAGAGGGCGGTGCATTAGAATGGTTTTGCCTCCTCTTTTCTGAAGTAGAGCACGGCATATAATTACAGCAACCCAAGTGTCAGACTCGGATCTGGGAGACTCAGGTTCGAATCCTCACTCTGCCAAGGGAAGCTTGCTGGATGACCTTGGGCCAGTCCCCCGCACTCAGCCCCACCTACCTCGCAGGGCTGTTGTGAGGACAAAACAGAGGAAAGGAGCTAGGAGACCCCAGTTGGAATCCCCTTTCTGCCATGGAATCTTGCTGGGTGACCTTGGGTCAGTCACCCTCTCGGGCTAACCTACCTTGTAGGGTTGTCGTTCTGAGGATCAAAAAATGGAAGCAGGGGAGAATGATGGATGTCTGTTTTGGGGGGAATGTTGGGTAGCAACGAAGTTAATAAGTACACACAAATCAGCAGTGCAATACTTAACACAGTTATGCCCTTCCAATTCCCTGGGCTTAAGGTAAAGGTAAAGGTTTCCCTTGCTCGAAAGAGTCGAATCTGACTCTAATGGTCCGGTGCTCATCTCCGTTTCCAAGCCGAAGAGCCAGCGCTGTCCAAGGACATTTCCATGGTCATGTGGCCAGCATGACTAGACGCCGAGGCGCATGGAACGCTGCTCCCTTCCCACCGAAGCAGGACCTATTTATCTACTTACAATTTCTTGCTTTCAAACTGCTAGGTTGGCAGGAGTTGGGGCCAGAGACGGGAGCTCACTCCATCCCGTGGCACTCGGGTCTCGACCTGCCAAACTACCGACCTTCCGGTCTGCAGCTCAGCGTCTTAACTACTGGGTATTATCTCTGCTTAAGAGAGCCAGTGCGGTGTTATGGTTAGGAATGTCGGACTAGTTGGAAGAGTTTTAAAATTTATTTAATGGAATTTCCAGACGATAGCTCATTGAAGTAAACTTGAATGGATGGAGACCCTTACCTGAAAATTTGACTAAGGCATTCAATAGTTAGAGGATACTATTTGTCAGAAACGGAATCGATGAAAATTATGTAAAATCTCAGCAACTCGGATGGAAGCACCCCCCCCCCCTCCTCTTTTCTCCTTTGTATCTATTCATGATTCGTCTCATATTGGTTTATATATTTTCTTTGTTTTGTTTTTTGGTTGGGACGTCACCATAACTTGATGCTAGCACCTCTCATATTGGATGTGAGGTTATCAGATTATTCTGTTTAGTTGTTGGCATTTGTTTTGTGTGTGTAGATAAAAGTGTTTTCAAAACATATTTTTTAAAAGGAATGTCGGACTAGGATATGAGAGACCCAGCTTCGAATCCCCATGCGCGCCGTGGACGTTCGCTGGGTGACCTTGGGCCAGTCCCACCTACCTCACAGGGTTGTTGTGAGGATCAGATGGAGGAGAGGAGAATGATGGAAGGTGCTTTGGGTCCCTGATGCGGGAGAAACGCAGGATAAAAATGAATTATATAAACAAATACTGCATAATAAGATACAGTGAAATGTTTGTGTTGGTATATCTGGCAGGTAAACAGCCATTTTAAAAGGAGAACAATAGACAGAGAACCAGTTTGGTGTAGTGGTTAGGAGCATGGACTCTAATCCAGGAGAACCGGGTTTGATTCCCCACTCCTCCACATGCAGCTGTGACCTTGGGTGAGTCACAAGTTCTCTCAAGGGCGGGTCTCGAGAGAGCTCTCTCAGCCCCGCCTACCTCACAGGGGGTCTGTTGTGGGGAGGGGAAGGGAAGGAGATTGTAAGCCGCTCTGGTTAGGAGCGCGGACTCTAATCCGGGAGAACCGGGTTTGATTCCCCACTCCTCCACATGCAGCTGCTGGTGTGACCGTGGGTCAGTCACAAGTTCTCTCTGAGCTGTTCTCTCAGGAGTAGTTTTTGAAAGAGCTATTCTGGGGAGGGGAAGGGAAGGAGATTGCAAGCCACTCCTTCGGGTAGCAAAGGGTGGGGGATAAATCCAATCTCCTCTTCTTCTTCGACTCCTGACACCGAATAAAGGAACCAAATGCCCCTTTCTATGCATCTATTAATAGGTTCTGGAGCCCAAACCCCCTTTGTGGCCAGCCATCCTGGAAAAAACAAAGAAGCATTTCTCAGAAAAGGCTTTTGTGTTCAAGGCATCCTGCACATTCCCAGGATAAATTCCCAGGATTCCCACCGGGCTTTCCCGCACAGCCTTAACCCGCGGAGAGGACAGCAGTAGGTTCTGCAGACACAACCAGGGAAGGGTGTGAAAAACCAGCTCCTGGGGGAGGCCTGATCCTTTAAAGGTAAAGGTTCCCTTGCTCGAAAGCCAGCCCCTAGGGTTGTGGTGCTTATCTCCGTTTCAAAGCCGAAGAGCCAGCGCTGTCCGAAGACGTTTCCGTGGTCATGTGGCCGCCAAGGCGCACGGAATGCTGTTCCCTTCCCACTGAAGCGGTCCCTATTTATCCACTTGCAATGTCTTGCTTTTGAACTGCTAGGTTGGCAGGAGCTGGAACTAGAGACGGGAGCTCACTCCGTCATGCGGCACACTCGGGTCTCGAACTGCTGAACTACCGACCTTCCACAGCCTGCAGTTCAGCGTCTTAACCACTTGAGCTTCTTGAAAAGAAGCAGGAGCCCATCGCATCCCCAGGCAGCAGCTTCCGCTGGTGAAACCAGCTTTGCCTTGCAGAAGGGGGGGGGGAGGGAATGACCGACAGTAACCCCACTGGTGACGTCAGCCCCCCTCTGGGGAGGAGGTGGGCGGGGCGTTAAGCAACAGCGCTGAGCTGCCAAGCAAGAACATGGGGCCGGGGGAAGGAGAGGACTCTCCGCAAAAATATTATTTCAGCCACCGTCCAAACCACCGGCCTCCCACCCCTTGAGTAAATACACCCCGCGGAAGTTGCTCCAAAAGTCGAAAGTTGTTTGGGGGGGTCTCATGGCTAGGCAGGTGTTCAGCAGAGAGAAGGCTCAAGGAGGTGCGGGGGGTGGGAAGAAACGTCCTGAGCAGACCACAGATCTGGTCACCCCACACCCGGCGAAGAACATGCCTCCAAAGCGCATGCAAGCGCGCATCCCCCCACAGCTTAGTGCTCTTCCCCCCCACAAGCAACTCCCCTCTTAACAACGCCTGAATGTTGTCGCTCCTTTCTCTGCAGGTACATGGGTTCTGATTCTAGGCACACTTTTTTAAATCTGGGAACGTCTCTAAGGGAATCAGCGGCAGGTTGGGGGGACACTGAGCATGTGCAGCGCACATCATGCACAGAAGGGTCTTCTGAGAGAAGCCAAATCAGGCGGGCGCTGAAAACAATACAAAGCATGTAAGGAAACCACCACCCCCCGAAAGGAAACCTGAAATCCCCTGAAAAAGAAAATGCCCCCTGCACTCCTGTGCAAGGCTCCCTCTAAGCTGTAAAGCCTTGTGAGCAAAAATTCTCCTTTGTGAGCTGCTGGCATTCAAGTTGTGAGCGAGCGATTCGGCGAGAGCATCAATTAGTCTGCTCTGGAGCCCTCCTTCCTGAGCGAAGGCAAAAATGTGTGAGCCGGAGGCTAGAAAACTGTGAGCTGGCTCACACTCACTCAGCTTAGAGGGAACACCGCTCCTGTGCACGAGAAGCAAGATTCTCTTGGATGCACACAGATCCTTTTCACGGGGGCTCCCCTCTATGGGTCGGGTCTCTTTTTTGCCCCAACCACAGAGCCGCCAGGCACAGGGGAAAGCCCCCCCCCCCCCGCAACCTCTCCCCCCTCCCATTCCGGCACGTACCGTCAATGTCACTCAAGAGAGCCGTGTCGATCTCGCTGGTCTCGTTGAGCGTCAGCGAAGAGTCCAAGCCGTCCAGGACGGGGTCTTCGAAGGGGAGGCTGTTCATCTTGGCGAGAGGCACCCCCCCCCAACCGAGGGTCCTTCCAAGAAAAAAAAAATCCCCAGTAAACAAAGTAAAAGAAAAGAAAAGAATAAACTCAATGAGACTTTAGGGGGCCAACCCTTTCCATAGGCAATCAGAGAATCCACCAGTAGACAACCAGAGAATCCACCAGCAGTCAATTATCCACCGTGTGTGACCCCCCCCTCCCCCCCAAAAAAACACAGCAGGCTTATGGGCTGTTGGCTACTAGCTGTCTGCTGCCTCCAACCCCCAATTCTGCCATGACTGGCTCTGGAGGGGAGGGGGGGAAGCAGGAGGAAGGGGAGTTGTGAACTGGAGTTCCAGCCTGCTTACTGGGGAGGGAAGAGGGGGGAGGAGCTACGGCTTCTGACCCCGCCCCCGAGTCCCTTGATGGACAGGCCCTGCCTTCAAAGGGAAATCTGTCAACACTCCCCCCCCCGCCCCATTTCAGTTGTATTTGCTGACATGCTTCTGTTTGCAAGAGAAGCAAAACTAGAGGGAACAGTTGGGACAGGGCGACACACACGGCACAGATCCAGCGAAGTCATCAGTCAACGCGATTCCGAAGCGTGTTTGGTCGGGAGTCAGGCTTTGCAATGAGGCTTACTCCCGAGGAAACGCGTGCGACGGGGTGGGAGTCTCGGGGCGTAATGTAGGGCGGTTTGGCCCTAACGTCAGGGGAGCTTTCAGAGTCAGGAATGTAATTTATTTGTAATTTGAAATTCTATGATTGTATTTATCGTATTTTAAACTGTTGTGCGCCGCCTTGAGCCTGCCTGTGCAGGCAAGGCGGGATGTAAATAGAAATTAATAAATAAATGAAGTGGAGCGTCTTCCTCGCCCCCTAGTTCTCCGTGCAGCTGCACCTGTTGAATTTCTGCCAAGCAGTTAGCGTGTGTGTGTGTAGGGGTGGGGTGTCCTTGCATGATGGACCGCTCAAGGGAACTTTTCTCCTTGAAACAGGAGGATGCTTTTGTCGAGTCACCTTTGGCAACGCTCGTGAGAATGAGCAATTTTATTGCACGTGAATTTGGGGGCTGGGCGGGGGGAAAGGCAGTTTGGGAACGCGGCCAGGCGAACGCGTGTCTTGGAAATCCGCTGTCGCTTCGGGTTGCGATTGCAACAGGCGGGGCGGTATCAAATTATTGATTCGAATTCCCCCCCTCGGAATCCGAATTATTCTAAAACAGCCTGCAAAAAAGCAAAAGGGGAGAAAAACACCGGGACCTCGTGGTCGCTTTCCTCGCCTCCCTCTTAACCCGTATATGGCCACAGGGGCCTTTCCCTCCACCCGTGAAATTCACGTGTCTCTTCCCATGCACACGAGACGCAGCGACACTCTTGCTAACCAGAAGGTTCGTTCTGGTCCCGGTCCTCCCCCCATCCTTTGGAGAGACCCGTAAGTTTCGAATCCGTGGCTGAATTAGGCTGCGGAACAGCCCGCCACGAGATATATATTAGGCGGGTCCGGTTCACGAGCCGGGGTCCCAATCGCTGGTTCGTCAAGAGCGGCCAAATGGAACCTCCTCGCGCAGAGGCAGTCTACCCCCAAGTAGTAGGCTCAAAACCAAACTGCAATCCACCTAAGTAATAACCTTTCAGTCGGGCCACCGACGGTAACACCAAGGAGAATGCAAGCATTCGAGCTCCCCGGACTTTTTGTTCGGGTTGAACACCCTGAATTTACCCTAGCTTTTACTTCAGTGGGTACGTTTGGGGGCTTTTCCACTTCAGGCTGCGGGTGGGAACTCGCAGGATAGGCTAGGCTTGTATTCTGTAGAGTCTCCGAACGTAGAAAGCTAACAAATCAGAGAGAGGGCCAGTTCGCAAGGCAGAAGCAGTGCAGCCCTGGCACCCCATTGAGAAAAAACAAGGCCAAATCCTCTCAAGTTTATTATCCCGCCCATCTGGCGTCCAGAGGTAGACTGCTCCTGAGCCTGGAGGTTCTCTCCGGCCAATGGCTTTGCGCAAAACGTCGCATGGATCCGTGCAATTTAATTAAATGATCGAAATAAGAAATACATAATAAAATAAATAGTATGCAAAAGAGCCCTTTGGGTTGGTTTCGGAGCAGCCAATTGCTTCGCGGGAGCAATTGTGCGCAAAAGAAAAAAAAGTGCAAAAATGCCCGCCCACGTGGCTTCATCTTGGCTTAGGGAGCTGGGCGGCAGGGAAAGGGTTAATGCCGGCCGGCCCTGTCTAGGCGTGGCCACTCCCCCCAGGCAAGCGACCAATGAGCTGGCGCCAAACCAGGGATGCCCCCAAGGGGAAGCTTGGTTGAGAAGCGGGGGAAACACCGCCCGTAGTGCCAGTCGGCGGCAGCCAATGGGAGCGCGGCTCCGCAGTGGAGTGATTTTGCGTCACGGGCCCGGCTCTAGGATTACATCATGTGGGCGGGGAATCTTCCTCCTCCACGTGGAGGGGGGGGAACGGAGGGTGGGGTCACGCCGCGGAGCAGAGAGAGTGGGCGGAGCTTACATTTAAAGGAGCCGAGCTGGTGTCGCTGATCTTGCCCGCAGCCTCGCTCAGAAAACGGGACTGAGCGGGAGATATTTAATTTGAGATAAAATAGGACCCCTGAACTATTTTCTGAAAAAAACTAAAGCAATAAAATGGACAGAAGGATATGAATGCAATGCACACAAAATGTTTACATTTTAAGGTTTATTACTATACCTACTAGGGTTGCCAGCCTCCAGGTGGGGCCGGGGGATCTCCCGATTTTACAACTGATCTCCAGCTGACAGAGATCAGCTCCCCTGGATAAAATGGCTGCTTTGAAGGGTGGACTTTATGGTATGGTACCATGCTGCCTCCCCTCCCCAAGCCCTGCCCTCTCCGGGGTCCACCCCCAAAGTCTCCAGGTATTTTTCCAACGCAGACCTGGCAACCCTAATACCTACCTTTCTGCTTATGTCATTATCCTCACAACAACCCTGTAAGGTAGCAACGCTCCCTCTAAGCTGTGGAGTCTTGTGAGCAGAAATGCTACTTTGTGAGCTACTGGCATTAGAGTTGTGAGCGAGCGAGCAATTGGGCTGCTGCAGAAATCAGTTTGCTCTGGAGCCATTCTTCCTGAGCTGAGACAGAAATGTGTGAGACGGAGGCTGAAAAATGGGGAGCTAGCTTAGAGGGGATACTGCCAGGTACAACAGAGTTTCAGTCCAGCAACACTTTTAAGACCAACAAAGTTATATCCTGGGTAGAAGCTTTGGTGTACATGCAGGCACACCACAGCTTATAGCCAGAATGAAACTTGGTTGGCCTTAAAAGTGTTGCTGGACTCAAACTCTGTTCCGCTGCTTCAGACCAACATGGGGAGTCGGGGACCCACCTGAACCTGTAAGCCCACTCGTGGGGTAGGGTGAGATTCTATGTTTTATCTCGGCGTGGCCGCTTGTTAGCCGCCCTGGGCCATATGGGTAGGGCGGGATATAAATCCCAAAAATAAATAAATAAATAAATAAATAAATAAATAAATAAATACATATAAGCAGTGTTCCCTCTAAGCTGAGTTAGTGTGAGCTAGCTCACAGTTTTTTAGCCTCCAGCTCACACATTTTTTTTAACAATTTATAGTTTTTTATTAAAGTTGTGATATATCATACAAATATTAATAACAAATGAAAGCGTATCTAGTTCAACAGTGAATTCAAAATCCAAACAACAAGTTAAGATAAACTCTAACACATTTACATAGCTGTGCATTCAAACAAACGTCTAACAATTAGGATATACTGAAAAATGTAACACATTTGAGAATACAAGATAGAGTAGTAAAAATTGTAAACAATATAATGCGAGAGTCTGCAATTTTAGAACCACTTGATATAATCTTCCCAGGAAGGTGGTAGAATATGCTCTTTTTCCAGGTAGGTAAGTATAGGAAACCATTTTGCATTAAACTTCAGGTCTGGCTGGCCTGTTTTTGCCGTGTTGCATCTGCCGGTTATACTCTCCATTATGTATTGGTCCCATAGTTTTTGGAACCAATCCTGAAGCGTGGGGGTTTTAGGATTTTTCCACTTCGAGGCAATTGATGTTCTTGCCGCATAAAGCATTGTTTTCATGATACTCTTGTGGTGTTGTTGATCAATATTTTCCGGCCACACTTCTAACATTAAGTGTTCCGGTGTGTAAGAGAGGTCTATATCAGTGATATGTTTTATTTTCTGTAGGATTTCTAGCCAGAATGCAGCTCACACATTTTTGCCTTAGCTCAGGAAGGAGGGCTCCAGAGCAAACTAATTTATGCAGCTGCCAAATCACCTGCTCACAACTTTAATGCCAGTAGCTCACAAAGTAGAATTTTTGCTCACAGGACTCCACAACTTAGAGGGAACATTAGATATAAGCCGAATAAATAATAAAAATACGGTTGGTTAGGCTGAGATTAGTGTGGGGCTGGCCCAGGGCCACCAAGCCATGTTTTACAGCAGAACAGTGTCCTCTCTAAGTTGAGTTAGTGTGAGCTAGTTCATAGTTCTTTAGCCTCCGGCTCACAGATTTTTATCTTCGCTCAGGAAGGAGGGCTCCAGAGCAAACTAATTTATGCAGCTGCCAAATCACCTGCTCACAACTTTAATGCCAGTAGCTCACAAAGTAAAAATTTTGCTCACAAGACTCCACAGCTTAGAGGGAGCATTGCAGCAGAGTAGATTATCCGATTTGTTTCTACCCTGCTGTCCCTGAAGGAGACCCAGAGCTGTGTTCCTCATTCTTTTCTTCTCCGTTTCGTCCTTGCAACAACCCTGTGAGGTAGGTTAGGCCGAGAGTGTGTGTGTGTGAATAGCCCAAAGTCACCAAACCACCTTTCACAGAATGATTTCATAGAATCATAGAATGTTAGAGTTGGAAGGGACCTTGCAGGTCATCTAGTCCAACCCCCTGCACTCTGCAGGAGCATAGCCGAAAGACAGCCCTACAACAGACCCGAAAGATGGTCATCCAGCCTCCGCTTGGAAACGTCCAGCGAAGGAGCATCCACCACCTCCCGAGGCAGACTGTTCCACTGCTCAACCACTCTTATAGTTAGGAAGTTTCTCGTGATATTTAGCTGGTAACGACTCCCTTGTAATTTCCACCCGTTAGATCAAGTCTTGCAATCCGGAGCAAGAGAGAAGAGATCCGCTCCGTCTTCTGCATGACAGCCCTTCAGATACTTGAAGACTGCAATCATGTCCCCTCTAAGCCTTCTCTTTCCCAGGCTAAACAGACCCAACTCTTTCAGCCTTTCCTCGTAAGACTTGGATTCCAACCCTCTCACCATCCTGGTTGCCCTCTTCTGGA